ACGTTTACTGCTTGCGCACCGCAGGCGCACCGGAGGAAGTCCAATGCAGATCGAATGGTACCGTACCTGGTTGCCATCTCGCTGCGACTCCCGAAAGCTGCTGAAGTTGGTCAGTCGGCTGCGGGCTGAGGACCGGCCCTGCTGGTCCACGCTCCGCCCCTGACTCCGCGCGCGACCTAGGCCGCCGCCGATCTGGTGGGTTGGACCTGTGCCGCGCGTCAAAGAACAAAGTCGTCATCGTGAACCTGAACGGGCCGACGTATACACGGTTTGCTGGTTATCTCTTGCTATCACCGGCCACAATGCAAGCCACAACGTCTCCCAATCATCGCGAAAACCTCTTGTGCAAGGCGGGGGAAAACAACAAAGTAAGTCAACAGGACATGGGATGTGCGTCGCGAGGGCTACGCCTGCATGATGCGGGACGATGCTGGGGCTGGGGATTTTTTTTTCACTTTGAAGAGGAGGCCAGTTACTGCCATAAATCTCAACCCGGAGCAGAGAAACAAGGTTTGCACCGAAAATACTGTTTGCACAAGAGATACAATTGCGTTGTGGGTGGTGAACTAGATAATCTATACCACACGATCACATCACACCAGATGCCACGCACAAAACACTCTGAAAAATTACTCGTTCACCAAGCCAAACGGGGATCGCCGTAAAACTGCACTCCTGTAGTCGGGAAAGGGGAGTTGGGGGAGGGGTCACTGGTCTCTGGGCAAAATTTGAGACACAACCATGCCTTGGGGGCGGGGGCAGTTCGAGCGAGAAAGTGGGGTAGAGTGTGGGTGGGGTGGGGCGTCACTACCGCGTGCAGTTACCCATGTCGGTTCCGACCCCGCCGCCGAAGTCTCTAAGGGAACCCCCAAAGGAGCCGTTCCACTGGGACGAGGGCGCTGCCGGGGTTGGCCGGGGGTGGCCGTGGGTGGGGGTGAGGGGGTAGTCAGAGCGCCACCCCCTGGTCCGCCACGGAGGCGCCCAGAGCACCCACGGCCCCCGCCAGCCCAGCCAGCGGACTGAAGACACCCGGGCCCTTGACAGCTGTGCACAGCGACGTGGATCAACGCATCATTGCCGGCCTCTCACGCCGCACCTCGCGCTCGCCGCCCCATGTTTACCTCATTGCATCGAGTATAGCTCATTCTCCGACAGGAAGCCTTTACCTTTGGAGCGCAGCGTCTGCCTGCGCCGCGCCTGGACCATGCCGTACACGACGGCTGCCAGCGAGCTGTACTGCGAGGCCTGGCGCTGGAAGCCGGCCGCGCGGCCCGCGCGCCGCCCCACCACGTACGAGGTCTCCATGCGACCCTTGCCCTTGACCTCCACCAGTCCTCGCGGCTGCAGGAGGAAGCCCCGGGCCTCCAACACCTGCAACAGGAGGCGGGCGGCGTTAGGAGCCAAAGCTGCCAGCTGACCGGCGCAGCGCACCTCTCCACGGCGGCGCCACTCAGCCCCGCAGCCTCACCTGGGCCGTCTCCTTCGGCACCTGAATCATGCCCATGGTGCCGGTGGAGTCCATGCGGGAGGCCTCGTTCACCGTGTTGCCCCACACGTCGAAGACGGGCTTCCTTGCGCCAATCACTCCGCCGACCAGAGGACCGCAGCTGATCCCTGCAAGAGACGGCTCGAGTTGAAACTGTGATATATATGGAGCGCGGCGCAGGGTCTCCATTGCCGAAAGCAGCCGCACTCACCCACTCGGAGCTGGAAGTGGTTAAAAGAGTGCTTGTTCACGTCCTCCAGGCGGGTCTTCATGGCCAGCGCAAAGTCCACCAGGGCGCACAGGTGGTCCCACTCGTCCTCGCCGGGCTGCGCCAAGGATGGAAAAGCGTCATGAAGACAGTAAAGAATGAACGCTCATTGTCAAATTCCACGCACTTGCCTGGTGAGAAGGATTGAGACCGGAGGCCGCCATGTAAGTTGCGCCCACCGTTTTGATCTTCTCGATGACCACGAATCGCGGCTCGTCGAGCAGCTCGTCGAAATCAACTAGAGTCACAGAGACATATGAGTGTCACCTCATTAACAACCATGGAAGCACAGATGGGCCAAAGAGTTGTGGTGACAACGAGCGCAAAGTGGCACGCACTCCACCCGTCTCCAAACTCCCATCGATGTTCTTACTTACCGATGATTTCGTTGAGCAGCCGAATGCATTCCATGCCTTTGTTGATGTCTTCGGAGTAGAACTCAGTGAAATTCGGTATACTGGCGAATAAAACGCCAACTTTGTCGCGGGCCTGAGAATACAGCTCCTGAAAAATCGCATCCGTCAGTGTCTGAGGTCACCACTTGCTTCAAACCGGGCGAGACGTGTAGCGGGTGGCGCACCTCGGGCGGCCGGTCCTGCGACAAAAAGTGCGTCGCCACGTGGTCCGGCAGAATGTTGAGCAGCAGCTGGTTGTTGTTCTGGCGCGTCTCCAGCATCTCCTCCAGCTCGCGGGCCGCCTGCTGCTTCCACAGGAAGTCGAGTCTCGAGATGATCTCCACGAGGCGGGCGTGGTGGATGACGAGCGTGAGGAACACGGCGAGCAGCGTCATCATCTGCGTGGCAGGGGTGAGCCTGCGGCACAGAACATCCCCGTCAAAAGGGAAGCAGGACGCCCCGCCCCGCCCCGCCCCGCCCCGCCATGCAGGCGCGCGCAGATCGAGGTGAACCTCTCCCGCCCCAGCCCCTCGTCTCCAGGGAGCCGCGTGAAAGGTAGTCAATTTGTACTCCAAACCCCAAACCTCCTTTATGTAAACAACCCACGATGCATACACCCCCCCCCCCCCAATTTCAGCGTCAGCCGGACCCTAAACCGTGCCTGCCGACAACAAGCTGAACTCACATGCGGCTGGTGTAGTCGCGCGAGAAGACCTGGGGGAACGTGCAGACGATGAGCACGGACTGCGCCGCCACCAGAGCCACGGCCAGGGCGGTCTTGACGAGGAAGTAGAGCTTGAGGCAGGTGGCGATGGCGACCAGGCACACCACCCACGAGTACACCGAGTACTCCGGCGACGAGCACCCCACTTTGCTGAGGAACTCCCTGCACGCACTCCCCGTGAGGTTGCCGCACTTGTAGTTGTTGTTCGACATCACCTCGCTCTGCTGCGGCAGCGCCTCGACGGCGAGCTCGACGGTCCCGTTGGCCACGGGTCGGGCGGCGCGCGTGGGCCGGCAACGGGAGGGGGACGCGGAGGCGTTGGGCCAGGACTGCGCAGGCGAAAGCAAAGTATCGTGAGCAAGGAGAGGCGTCATTTGAAGAAAAAACAAAGAGGATGTTCATTCGTTTGATTGAAACAAAGTACTCTGCTAGAGCTCGGATCCAAAGTGCGAAGAACAAACTGGAAGCAAGTACCCGCCGCTTACACCGACCTGCGCGCAATCCCGACGGTGCCTGAGCCGGAGCGCGGCCTGCTGCCTCTCCCAGCGAGCCGGGCCCAGCAACGGGTCCGCGCGCACCACCACTGTGATACTGGAGACTGTGGTGGCGGTGCCCGTGGTGATGCTGGTGGTGGAAGTGGTGGTGACGGTGCCGTTCCCGCTGACCTCGATATCGTTACCTGTCTGGATATTGTACGAGCACACCACCTGAAAAAAAACAAAAAAAACACGCACCACATATACTTGGAGGTCAGGATACTTCAGGCGGCTGCACACTTTGGAAGCTTGGTACAGTCTCGCGCGGCGTTCTTGCGTTATCCAAGACGCAGCCGGGGGCCTGTCCGGCGGGGTCCTCTTACCAGGCTGAGGGAGGCGAAGACAGCCATGGTGACCAGGACGGCGCACACGAAGGCCGTGCGGTAGAAGCGGTTGTTGACGAGCAGCGACGACATGGCCCGGATGCTGGCCGGCACCCAGGCGAACTCCTCGGCCATGACCAGCACGATGGCGCCGGACAGGATGACCGTGGCGGCGGTCAGGGAGCCGACGAGGACGAACGTGCTGAGAAAAGGAGCAGCGGGGTCAGGGTCAGTCTCACCTGCAGACGCACCGCCGGGTGCGGCCGGGTGGTTGGGCCTGTCTGTGTGTACTCACGCCGGTAGCATGACGGTCTGCCCGGCCACGATGAGGAGCCACAACACGAAGCAGCACACCATGTTGGACTTGAACATGTCCTCCCTCAGGCAACAGAACTGGAAGATCAAATATATAAAGAAAACGAAGCAATCGTAAACCCCCAAACCTCCCCTTTCCAGGGTACTAGTCTTACTTTATTTTCCATCTCGGGGTCGTTAAACTTGAGCGTCCACCGGTTCAGGTTCTCCTTGCGCATCCTCTCGTTGCTCTCGATCTCCATGGAGTGGTCCATGATGACGCCGACGGGGTCGTCCCGGTCGCGGTCGCCGGCCACCGACGTCCCCATGGGCGTCGCGGACCTCTCGTCCGTCTCAAAGAACGA